CTTATTGTTCAAGAAATGAAATGTGTCATTTCAAACCTTCCAGTTAAAAATATTACATATAATTACACTGGTGAATTTTTTGAAACATTTAAACATTATGCAATGCCAATCTTACACAAACTTTTCCAGATAGTAGAAAAATAAGGAACACTCCCCAGCTTGTTTTATGAGGCTTGCATAACATTGATACCTGACAAAGTTATCACAAGAAAAGACAATTATAGGCTAATTTCTCTTCATGAATTTAGACACAGAAGTTCTGAGGTCAGGTATGTATTATAAAGTACAGTTTTGTGGGCTCCACCTCACACCTACTGAATCGTAATCCTGAGCGTGGAGCCCAGTGAGAGGTGAGTTTTCATAATTCTATCTGGTAACTCAGATGCAGCAGTTTTAAGGACCAGCATTTGTAAATGTTTGTTTTTCAAACTTTGTAGATAACTGAGATAGGGAAATAATTAATAGACTGTTAATATGTAATGATACATATATATTTAAGGCCTTTTAAAATACAAATTGAAGAAAGAAATTTAAGAAATAATATTTGTTTACTATTTGGGGGAAGATATAGAGGCCATCCTTGGGGCATATGCCCAGGCCATAAGCCTGCTTCCCTCTCAACTTTTGTGGCAACATCTTATGCCCATCTGCTGGGGTAGATCCCTAAGAGACATACCTTTCTACAGGCTGAAGAATAACATATTTAGCTATTAGCCAAGGATTCCTCGCCCTGACAGCACTTGACTCCCCAACAAATCAATTCACAACCCCCCATCTCTTCAATTACCCTAGGGAGAATTAAGCTTGTTAGAAAGGATGCCTAGAAGTCAGTGCTTCACTTTTAAATTATTAAATTAATTGTTAAATATGCAGAATAAATAACAATTTGGAAGCCAACATTTTTACTGCAATAGCTAGATATTTTGAGAGAGAAAAGAGGGTCTGGTTCTTTTTGTTTGTTTCTGTTTTAAAATGCTAAGAGCCTAAAGGACTCAGGAACATAATTTTTTTTATCATAAACAGCATTGGGAAGAATAAACCATGGTTTATGTGTCAATTTTCATGAGCAGTATAAAGAGGGGAAGTTTTGCAAAGATGAAGAGAAGAGCTATTAGTACATGATCAGTAAGGGTTTTGGAGAAGGGACCCATCAGTCCATCCCTCCCTGGGATGAGCTGCAGATTGACTTAGGGAATCCCAGAGAAACCAGTACCCATTCCCAGCTTCCTGGGAAAGATAACAGATGAGGAAGATGGCAAGCCCCTCCGCAAAGCTCTGGGTATCTGAAGGGCAGAACAAGAAGTGAAGTGGGAGGGGGGAGTGTGGTGTTAATACATCCAGGCTGAGGGCACCTGTTATAGCTCAACCTCCTGAAACTCCTCCAGCTCTCCGGGTATAAGACAATATTCAAAATTGTTCTGTGCTATTGAGACAGATGGAAAAGTACCCGAAAAAGGGCCAGTGGACCAGAGGGACCTACAGAAAGGAAAAAACATGCTATGCTGTTAGCTAATACTACACAGATCATATGAGCCAATTTTATAGCAAGAGACTTCAGCAGTGGAGGTAGGAGGAGAAAGAAAATGCCCGCAAAGCAGGTAAGAAATACATGTCAGTAGATGTCAGCTGAGGCCAGAACTTGATCAAGCACCAAAGATCCACTCTGTCCAATACCTGTGATACAATATGACTCCCACAACCCCCAGACACCCTTTCCTACCTTAAAGAAAATTACTAGGGAGGTGGAACAGGTTGAGACTTGAAGTCACTGAATTACAAGTGATTAGGTTAAATGTGGTCAAACTTTTACACTGACATGCAAAATCTTTCAGAAATATGTCTCCAACCTGCCTTTCCAGCTATGTCCCTGTAACATCCGTGCACAAACTTTCTAGTCAAGCCCTCCACTTCACCATAAACATGCCTGGGTGTTTTCACTTGTGCATATTTGCTGTAACATTTCTTCTGAGCCTCTTGAAATTCTCAAACTATGCCTTATTTTTGTCACTAACTCCTAATACATTGCCTAATGTGGTCACCCAATGCTTCTGAGTGAACTAATCAACTAAATGAGAATGAGTCGATAAGTGAAGAAAATGAATGACTAAAACGTCCTTAGAATTGTCTCCCTATTTGAAAATATCTGACATTCTAAAAACAGATAATGCCCCATTTTTTTTTCTAAGAAGGATTTAGAGATGATTTCAGCCATATATTTTTTAACTCCGTAACATATTATCAATCATTGCTATTTCATCATATATTATTCTATAACTATATAGGCTTATATTTGCATATGTATGGACATATAATCACCTCCAAGAGCGTAATCCTCTTGAGTCAGACATTATACTTCAGGTGAGGATTAAATTAGTGAATTAATGCAAGCTCCTGCATCAATACTGTCCCCCAATTTTTCACAATGCCAGCCCAAAGGGGGAAAAATTCAAGGTAAGACAGCAGAAACAACCAAAACCGTATCTTCTATGGGACTTTCAAGTACTAGGAGAATAACCGAGTTCAATGATATTTATCTCCTATTTCCTTAGAGCAGGGCACAGCAAATTTTCACAGGCCATGTTTCCTGCTGCTTTTATGGGGAATGTTTATAGAGAAGGGAAGTATATTAAAGAAAGCAAAGGTAGGAAGTATAATGTGGCAGCGTGCATCTGTGTTGTCACTCTCAGCGAACTCTGTTGCTAACCCTTGCACTAACTACCTTAATAATTGCACACATTTAGTAAATTTTAGCGAGTGATAAATAAAAAAATTCAAGCTATCATTATTGGTAATAACCTAGTATTATCATCTTGTTTTTTACCATTCACTGAAGTAAACCAAGAACGTTGTATTTGTTAAACAACTTTTTATGTACCTCAAGTATGATGAGTCTGGGAAATTTATATGGTTCAATGTACAATTTTTGCTTTTCTAAGCTATTCTTTCTTTATTCTCCAGATTCAAAATACCAAGCAGACAACTGATTTTGGAAACAATAAACAATGCAATATACTGTATAAGAGTCTCAAAATAATATTTTTGGGAAGTCAGTGGTAAAAAGAGGTATTAATTTAGATAACAAAAAGTGAAAATTTAAAAATTGACATTTATATTTCAGGAAACTTTTACATTTTATATATTTACATTTATACCCACATTTTAAACTTAATATTTCACCCTATAAGCAATAATGCAATCTTTCATATATTTTTTCCAAATCATCAAACATTGTATCTGCTTACCATATTTTCATTAGTTTTGTTAATGCTTATCAATGTAACACTCCCCTTCCTGGTTTTCATTATTTTCATCTATTTTCCACTATATTCACATACTAAGAGAAAAGAAACTAGAACCTGTCTTTGGAATAATAAGTTTGAGTTCCCTCTTAAGCAAAGATTTCCATGTTAAAAATATTTAAATTTTTAGGATCAATAGATGGACTGCAACTAAACATTATCTAACTAAATTCAGGTTCATTTTAATGACTATTATCCATGTTTTAGTCAGTGGATAGTGATTTCTTTTCCTTAAGTAAACTGGAAATTTAATTTTGGATGGTTAGAAAAAAATAAATTTGGCTTCCACAAATTCGTTTTTGCAATAAGAGTCACCTTACTTTTGAATAATTCGTATAGTTACTTATTTTCGTAATGATGAATTTAGTTTAGACAAACTAGCTCTTTTTCATGTGTGTTTCACACATTTATTTTCTCTACAAATGGAGACAGCAAATAATATTTTAACAAGCATGTAATTAGACCCCCACAATTGAAAGGCTTATTGTTAATGCTATCTACCTAGAACAACCTATTACCAAAACCATGCTTTATACTACACAAGCATAATTTATATTTTTATTCTTAATTTTGTTATATACTTTTATTAGGATGTTCACCAGTATCACTCCTTTTCAGGGTTGAAGCAAATATAAATGTCTGGTGAAAAAAAACAATGAATTAATTCCCTTCATATAAACTTCTGTGATGGTTGACAACCAGGAGAGATTGCTGGCAACAGCCACTGTTACTGTTGTTCACTGTGCACGTGAAAGTTCCCCAAACCCTGCCTTGAATCACAGCAGTAAGTCTGAAATAGTTTTCTAAGAAGATTAAAAACTTGTTCTGGACATAAGTATGGCTATAGATCTCTTCATAAATGCCATTAGATAATAGCCTTTAAAGATTTTTTCTAAATTTAACTCAAATTGCCCCCTTTGTTTTTAAAATTTCTCTGAACCCCAGAGAACGTGTCAACCTCCTGCCTTAGCCCTTCCTTGGACCTCTAGCCTGGAGCAACTGGTAGTTTTGACCTCAGCACAGTCCTGCTGCCCTTAGTCAGCATCAGGGGATGCTGGATGATTCGCTGTGGCTGGATTCAGCCAAAACATGATTTTGTCTTGTTCCTTTCCTCCCATGATAGGCTTCCATTGATGTTATTTCCACTTAATCTTTTCTACTACAGTTTTTTCAAATTTCATAATAGTATTCCATATTTTGTCTTTCTTATCATACTCTAAATTAATTCATTTAAGTATAGATGTGTTATTAAATTCCCTTCAGAAATTAAAGACTATAACACTGACAACGTAAGTTAAAACTACCTCTGTAGAAAATCTTGGTTTCATAAAATAAAATACATAATCCATAACCTTTAGACAAATAAAACTTAATTCTTCTAACCAAATTCATATTGCATATTCCAAATTACTTTCACCTTATGTTTTTTTCTTATGTTTTATTCTCATTATTTTCTAATTATATTTTGTAACACCAGCCAAAATCTATACTTGTTGCCCTGATTTTTTTTTAATATCTTCATAGCCCACTGTAAAGACATTTTATATAAATATATTTCTTGTAATAAACCTATGAAAACTTGAAGTAATCAGTTTACAGTAAACAAAATGTCTCAGAGATTTCCAATGTTTTAATCAATTATGCAGTACATTTTTCTGCACCCTGATTTTAAATTTAAAACAGTAAAAGAAAATACCTTACCCCAAAAGTTTTCTGGCCATGGACTTCCTAAACTTGTTGTGTTATTAGCCATAATATCCACAAGAAATAGGAAAAAGAAAAGAAAAAAAGAAAGAAAGAAAAACCAGACTGTCCAAAAGAAGCAATTTGATTCTGTCTTCGTAGTTTGGCAAGAGAAAAATAATTTTCACACAACCCCTCATGTACTTGTGTTTGCATAAAAGGAAATAAGTGTATCATGTTTCCTGCTTTTATACTCAAATTAGCAACTATTTTTCTTATCTTGGAATTCCACATGGTTCCTGAGACACAAAACAATGTCCTTCTCGTCATTTCCTCAGCTAAGTTCCTAACTACTCTCCTTCCAGCCACCTCCAAAGCTGTTTTCAGGATAAGAGGTTCTTTTTCTTGGTGTTTCCCCATCACCTACTGACATACATAGGCAGACTCCAAACTCTCGGCTATAGTACTTTGAGTTAAATTTACATGGAATTGAGAAATAGACTGCTTTCCAATACTTGAAAATTATATTTATATAGTAAATTGGGGGTGGACGTGTGGACTAGTCAAGTACAATTAATTTTGACTAATATCCTTTCTTTATAAATCTCAGATACTTATTAAAATTCTTAACATGTCTGTTTCTCTAGTTGTATATTAAGTCTTTTGAAAAGTTATTTCTTAATTCATTTCA